GTGTGGGTAGGCTTGGCTAGAAGACCATTTATAGCAGACAGTTGGTCTTTGATGAACCTCCCCATCAACAGTTCTTTGATGTTCCCGGACGGGAATTTCTTTTGCATCAAAAGATCAAACCTGGCAAGTTTATATTCTTACAAGGCAGTCCTCTTTTCTTATTCATAAGTAAGAATGTCTTGATCATTTGTAATAGTAATGCAACTCTGCGATACACTTAAAATTATAAAAGTATGGCTATAGGCTAAAAAAAGCTTATGATTATGTTGTGAGCTGTCCGTGGGTGCAAGTTTATTATTCATTCATCAGATAAAAATGAAATTCAGATTTTAGAATTTGAAAAAAGGTGCACGTGAACTCATTATCAACAACCGTTTTCAGATCCACTCTGCTTAAATACATTATACCGTTTTACAAAATGTTTTTCAAAGTTGATAAAACTAGGTAGCACAGGAATCAACACGAAAAACATGCAACTTGTTATTGTTTATTAGCATCACTTAGCAATTTTAGACTTTTTCATTTGTCCCCTTAATAAAGAGAAACCTTTAAATACGTTTTAGTGGAGTTTGAAAATTTTATATTTTCCTGTAAAGGTGAAAAAAATGAATCTTTTCGAGAGCTCCGAAAGCGGAAAATTTGATAAATACATGTCCATATGCATTTACTTTCACTTCTTTCACTCTGTTACTTTCATGATCATTTTAGAGTCCTTTTACTCTTTTTGATACCATGTATTATGGTGCATCAGGAATGTGTTCTATGTTGCTCTGCTTAAATTGTCACTCTTGGTGATTAATCGAGTATCGTGAATTGAATTTACAATTGAATTGACTAAAACACACCTTACAACAAAGCATATATTTACTCAAAACGTGATGGCAAAAGCCTGTTCAGTATTAATCTCTGTAGGGCGAGATACACAGACAGTTTACAGCTGAGAAGCATTGAGATGATCACCTTCTATTGATCTCTAGCGCTTCTTAATTGTACACTTTGTCCACACCATATACAGTACTCATTGACTCACAACATCATTGGACCCACGATCAACAGCCTTTATAGTGTCGGTGCTTTGATGTCCAAAGGTATCAAATAGGTGGAAAAAGATCACAAAAATCAAACAATAACACATTTTTCTGTGCGCTTCAAAGTCTCTCAGGACTTCCCAGTGCTTCTACAAATGTGTAAAATATTTCCAGTGTATTAATATTTCTTACACCACAATTTAACATCCTATAAAAACTCTCAAATGGTCTGCGACGTACCTTTCTTGTGAACCATCATATTACAGTTCTATTCCTTTGATCCTATCTGTTCCGGATCGTTTGGTCTTCTTCAACAGTCTCTTTTTATTGTTTAGAGACCACAGATATTTATATGCGACGAATCAGAATAGCCCACCTTCGTTATCTGAAAGGCTACAACAAAAGATAAATCAATACTTAAATGTGTTCATATGCAATCTGAGATCATAAGCAGCTGTGTTGCTCTCAACGGAAGAAATTGGATTCACAAATGATTTACAAGGATTACAAGGTTTTAAAATCATGCTTTGTATGCTTTGTAAACTCAACGATATAGTTATACCACTCCGCTACCATAAGAATATGTGATAAGATTACAGACGAGACTATTTAATTACACTAATAGCAAATACTTTAATCTACAAATTCAAAGTATAACTACAATCTCTCTAAATTTGCTAATTTAAATTTGCTACTTTATAGGGCGATTTAAAAGATTTTTGCTTGAACTGCATAATGCCACGAATGTTTCTCTATTCAAATAAAGGCCAGAAAAAAATAATCAAATTGTGTTAAAGGCAGTTATGTCCATATATAATGATAGCTTTAAAAAAATCTGCAAAATCAGCTTCGTACCATTGTTGAAATTGTCCGCAATTGTATAATTTACCGGTTAATGATTAAAAAATAAATAATGAAGTACAAAATATATTTAAACGTAAAGATTTTTAATTTTGGGATATTCTGAAATATGTGCTACTAACCTGCTCAAATGTAGAAAATTAAAAAAAAATATTCAGTCGTTTGCAAATAATCTATCATTTGCAATTTGCTTGTAAATATTGACTACTTATTACAAAAAAGTACACTATACGCTAAGATGTTATACGCTAATACGCTATTTATTACAAAAAGTAATCTACGCTAAGAACCAGCTATATCAATCGTTTCACTTAAACATTCGTTATCATCTTCCGAGAAAAACATTCAAACTTTTTTCTAACTTGCTAAATCTTGTAGGATTCAGGTACTGAGTAGCTCAGACATGCTAATAAAACTTAACACACTTAAATCCATACAGCTACAGAGCTTTTTACTTTTTTTATTTTTGTTGAGAGTGTTTTTATCGAATTTCTGAAATCATAACTTCACAACATAGCCAAGACTTGGTAAAACAAAGTTAAAATCGAAAAACGAATTCGCGTGAGGACTTGGAACCAAAAAAAACATATTCCCTTTGTGTGGTACATATCCTGCGTTGAAAATCGGTTTTCATATAATGTATCATACCTGCTTTTTTCACGAAAAGAAACTGGAATTTCTTACATGTCAGAAATCAGCTTTTGAAGATCAGTGGGTTGATTAAGATTTCTCAGGTGTTTTACATTTTTTGAAAACACTCTTTAAGAAAGCTACATGACAGAAAATCAAAGAATCAAAAGAAATGTATTGATTAGACGTCTTAAGTGGTTTTAACAATAAAATAATAATAATAATAATAATAATAGAAAACGTCACATGCAAGTAAGCTACAGGGTCGACCTATTAAATAAATCAATTGATCCTTTTGATTGCCTCAATTAGCTACTACCAGCTGATGAATCGAAAGGCCTTTCCTCGTTTTTCTTTTTATGGTGTAACGTTATAATTACATTCCTAAAACAAGCTAATTCATGAAACGAAGAGGACACTAGAAACAACAACATAGTCATTTAAAGAAATGTTTTAAACATCAATACGCAGAACTTTGAACAACATTACAGAGCAAAGAATCGCGACACATTTTAAACAAACAAATTACGAAGACAGTACAGGGCAGATTTGTTCTGTTTTTTTTTCTGCATTTTTTTCAGACTAGTACAGCTACCAGAACAGACACAATCACAGTATTTACAGTGTTTGCCTTTACATGCTGAAAAGACAGATTGTACTGGTTACAAGACATCTCCAAATTAAGAACAAAACAGAAATATTCATGTACGATGGCTTGTTTGAAGTCTAAAACGAAAACTTTAAAAAATTGAAAGTTACATCAGAATCATTTGAAACCACCACCACCAGCAAAATTATCTGACCAGAAGTGAAACTGATGTGTAAACAATGTTTACATGACAAAGAAAAAAAACGATTCACAGGGGAATTAATCTACCCGTTTTAAGGTTTTCAGAAATCAATAGCAAGCCATTTAAAATGTAAAGAATTCCTTTAAAATACTTCGTACTTTTCATCTCAATGGATGTCAGTGGTGACACCTCCTACAGTGTCGTCATACTTGGTTAAGACATTCTGGTGCAACACTCTCTACAATTACTAGCCAAAATCCCTAAAAGATCTGATAGTACATTGCTGAGGCTTTGAGAGCCGATGAGATAAAGTTAGACTGGGTTAGTCAACTTTGTCAACCTTATTAATTGGATAAAATAAGTTGGGCAGAGTCAGAGAAGTAACGGCCAGTGGTTTAGGTTGTGACCACATGGGAGGCGACAACAATTCTCTAAGGAGGAGCAGGTTTGTTTTGTGCAATTAAGATGAACATTCTCAGGTAAAATGCCATCGCCTCAACCTACCATGAAAATTGTTTATGTATAGAAATACTTTACTTTCAAGCAGAACACTCAACCTGTGGAGGACTGGGTCTACATTTCTGGAACATTATCTACTTCAGCATAGCAGTAAAGAAAAAATGTATGTTTTCAAAAATTACGATTTCCTTTTTTTTGACTGCCTTAAGCAAATTCCACAAACAAAAACTTAAAGAAGTCAGTCCAGATTGCAGGTACAGGTTAAAATGTCTTGAGTTATGGAACGGTTTTATGAAAGGTTTTGTGTCCTTGCACAAAACATTGTTGCTTCTGAAGCTAATATGAAACAAAAAACACATAGTTAGGTCTTCTGTAATCTTCTGACAAAACATGAACGGCACCAGATAAATTAACAAAAGGAAAAGATTCATTCAGGCTATATTTTCTGTATTTTCTTTAGCTAACGTACTGAATGAAGTACCTACAAACAGAACTGCACTCCATCCATCCTCTCACACAATACTGCAGTACACACCAAATCTGATGCAGCTGGTCAGGTGAGAGTTGTGAGGTATCCAGTAGTCACCACTAACAGCATTGTCAAAATACTGTACAGCAAAGTTAAAATAGTCTATCCATACTTCATGCTTCAGACCTTCAGATCTGACACCTAACAGATATGACAGATAAGGAGCAGTACAGTAAAAATAATGTATAAAATTACTTAAATGTGGTTTCTGAAACGAAATTAACTTCTGCTTCTCCCACTAGGTGTACAACATATGAGAAAAAAGAGTTCCATTTGGTTTGTGGCCCCAGTAACTAGATACTGTATATGTTGCATATCCTTTTAAGTGTAAGGGAAGATAATAGCAAAAGAAGTGAATGTTCAAAAAATGTCTAAAATGCATTTCTTCAATGTCTAGTGTTCTAACATGTGTGTGACACCAATCAGTATGTTATAACTTAGTCAACAAAAAAACATGATCTATCTGCAAATACAGGCACATCATAAATATGCACCTTGCCCATGAGTTTCCACTGAATGCCCTCCTTCTTTTCAAACTCATTGTTGACATCCAGCACCAGAACAGGATTGTTCTTCAGGTGCTCAAAGTGCAGCCTGTGGAAACAGAGTATCAGTTGGATACACCTGTAGGTCTCACAGGATAATGGCTTCTGCTAAACCAATTGTCACAGCAATGTTGTTTATTGTGGGAATCTACAGCTGAATCTGTGGACTTGACCTTCCAGTCTACTCTAGGAAAGAATTTTGGTGCATCAAGCCTTTTAAATGCTTGACTGATAATTATTTAAATGATCTGGACCAACTATCTTGATTGGAACTGAATGGAAATTCTGGCATTTTATGATCTTTACTTTAAATGTGATGTTCCTTCTCTGCAATTCAAATTCCACATTCAAATTCAAATTGAAAAAATGCACATTATTATTTGGTTACATTATTTGAAATGAATATGATATCAATGCCAGGTTGTCAAAATAAAAATATTGCTACATAATAGAAATGTGTAGTAAGCAAATCAAACTCCATTAGTATGGCATATACCATGCCTCTAATTCAGCAAATAAATTTCAAATTAGAGGCTGCCTAGTCCTGAACCACGTTTTCCAGGCAAGGAAAGAAAGTAAGAATGTTTAGTAAATGACCACGTTCATGTTTTTCCTAAAGACAGAGATAGTACCCATGGTTGCGATAAATTGCTAATATGATGTCCATCTATAAAACGTGTGACAGCAATTAACCAGGGTGATTTATATTGAGTTTGATTATAGTATAGTTTATGATAACAAATACACAGTAAGACCTAAACTATGTGATAATCTGTATGGAAATAATTTGTAAGGCGATAGTTAAGATGGAAAAGGTCTTGGCTTAATACTTAACTAACTTGTCAGAGTTCTTTGAACTAACAACAACAGAAATGGAAACATGCAGTGTGTTTGATGTGAGGCATTTGATCATGCTCCCCATAAAAAAATAATTAATGATTGGAAATTCAGGGATTTAATGATTACAATAGTTTAATAACCCAATATACATTAATTAATTAATTTGTATAATGTTATTACAAAAATGTATAACAAAAATGTGAAGAAAAACTATGCAAGTTAATTCAATCCAATTTAAAAGTCTTTAATTAACAAAAAATGCTGAACTGGTGCCATAATTAATTGGGTTTAATACCCAATTACTGAACAAGTATCCATGGGATATATTCCAACCTTTACTGATTGAGAGCTTCAAACTTGCAAAGGTTTGTCTGAGTTGTAATAATAAACAATAAAATATATGTATATCTCTTATACAAAGTATTCACAATTCTTCTAAGTACAGGTAATTATTATAAACTTCATATTCAAAAAATATTTTATAATTTGATAAAGGTTTATTTAAACTATACACAAGAACAAAATAAAATACAAGAGCTTTTAGGATCCACCTTTGCCAGCATATTAATGAAAAGTCAGTTAACCCTCTGCTAAAAATATGTATTCAAAAACAATATTATTCTACAAATTCTTTAAAGTTAGCAAGGATAAACTTAAAGCAAAAATAGTAGTATTTTATAAAAATACAAGTCACACCATTTCAGTTCTATTCCTTCTGACTTGCTCCAAGCCAGACCAAGCCTTTGTGGTTCATGAATAAAGATAGGAAATGAGTCTTTTGGATCTGTGCTTCTGGTTTCCAAGTGAGCCTGAAGTAGGATTCAGCCCCATTGAGATTCTGGAGCTGGTAAGGGGTTCTGCTCAGTGACAGCCACACTCCTCCACCATCATTTCCTCATGATGTCGCAGTACCAGCTCTCCATTCTCATAATAGAGCATGGAAAGTGGGCCGAGTCTTGAGGGCACGCAGGATATACTTGGCACTTTGTCTGGATGGTACAGTTTCACCAGACTCTGCAGGGAGAAAAGAAAATACTTGTTACTACAAATAGAAATTGCCCTATCGTATTAAACACACACCTCAGTGTAGAAGGTTTGACACAGTATAGTACATAACACATGTTGGTAGCAAACTATGTGAAGGTGAAGAAAAAACCTTGTTTAAAATTATTGCAGTACTGAAGGTGATAAGTAATGCATAGATGTGTAGAATGAGCAGAAGTATTTTAGTCATGTAAAACTACAAGGATAACATCATTTTTTTCTGTGTCATATATTTTTTAAATCCTATTGCAATGTTTTATAGAAATTTGCACTTGTATTTATGTTGAATAAAAGGAGATTCATTCATAACATTGAAATCTGTGGACAAGGTATTGATTTTGATAATTTAATTTCCAGTGAATACTTTGGATATCTCATAGTATTAGGGATTGTTTTGTAAGTATAAAGAAATTAAATATGAAATATTATAGATAATAAATCCATTCATAACAGTATTATGTACCTGCATGTATGCATGGTTGGTAGGATTAAATGTCTCGTCCACAGGACAGGGACACTCTCCCTCGCACCTGAAGGCATTGTACCGTTTCGGGTGCACGATCCACTGGTTCCAGCCAATCTGGTCAAAGTCTACCCACATGTCCACCTTCCTGCACAGTGGACTCTTGGGGCTCTCAGGTGTGGGAGCGGTGCTCCCAACATTACCAGCTAACTTCACTCTCTCCTGCTCATTCCTGTTCCTCTTCTGTCGCCTGCCTGACTGGTCCCCAACTTTGTCCAGGGTAATATATTTGGAGTGCTCCACAGTGTGGATAAGCGTTGGCATACCCGTTTCCTCTCTGGAGTGGTTGTGTTTGGAGAAGACCACCATCATGACTCGGTCCACAGTCTTATGGTAGACTTTCCTCTCGCTGCTGCTCTTGGTGCTGTTGGCATGGTGCTTGTGCTGTTGTCCCTGCTCCAGCCTCTCCTTGTGTTCCTCTTCTGGCACTTCATGGAGGGGATTCCCTATGACTACTGCCTCCTCTCCGTTCACAAAACTCTCCCCCTGGTGGAGCCAGTACTTGAGCAGGGCTGTGACGTTGAAGATTTTCCAGGATGAGTTAGTGTCAGCTGGAGAGGCACTGAAGCTGCCCAGGAACAAGCGGTCCTGGCATGGCTGGCTATCTGACTCCTCGGCACACTCCTGCTCCCTGGAGTGAAAGATCTCCACCGTCACTCTTTTGGATGCAGAGAAAGAAGGCAGTCTGAAGCGGAGCTCAGACAGCTGGACATCGTCATCAGCAGAGATGGAAGACATGTCAAAAGTGACACTCCATTTATCCCCAATCTGATGGCAGCCTGTAAAACAAAAACAGGAGAAATCACATATCAGAACAAGTTCACAATTTAAAAGAAACTTAGAAGTTTGATTACTTCTCACTTAAATACTTAAATATTTTATGTTTTTGAAGACAAATCACGATGGAAACTTGGTTATACATAGTAAATTTAAATTAAGATTATTAAGTCATCGTTAAATTTTTAAGACTCCAGATATACGTTCTGCTAAAAGTAAATGAGGCGAGCAATCGAGGAGTATTGAGCTAAATGCTACAGTATCACTTGAGCGTTCCCAGCAGATGCGCTTGAGAAAACATTGCTCGCACTGCTAACAGACTAAACGTGGCAAATGTCAAAACAAGGCAGAATGTATATTGAACTCCTGTGCAGTCACATTTGTAACAGACGTCTGGGCAATACAGACACTCACAAAAAACTTTAAAGTCAAATAAAAACTGTAACACTGTAGTTTGTAAAGGAGAAGATCTGAAAATGATGGATAGATAACCACTCCTTTGACTGAGGAACCCTGCTTATTCGAGCTCGTCGGCTATATAGCAAAGTTAAATGAGACCATGATGGTGAATTTAAATAGGTATCTCGAATACATTAAAAGCAAACCTAAAGCCTAATTTATGTACATAAATCATAGACATTTGTTCCCGTAAATTCTCAGTATTTAACCAAAGACTACTACTTTTGACACAATTTAAACAAGAGTATTAATTAATTATAAAACGACTTACTTTTTGCCACCAGGCTCAGTACCGAATTGGATTCCTTTAGAACGGGGTTGTCCTCGGCTTGACCCGCTGTTGCCGCTGCTGCTGCGACCCCGCCAGCGGATTTGACGGAGCGGTAGAGGTGCATCATGTACCTCGGATACCTGCTCTTGTGTTGAGACCCCCTGTGTCGCAAAGCGGGAGCAACCGCAGCATTGGAGACAGAGCTATTGCCATCTAAGGTGGGATGTACCTCAACACCATACATGTCCCCGTCTTCCATTGTGTCCGTTACCGGAACAGGGTCCGTAGTGACGATTCCTGTCCAAAACACACCAAGTCCGCCCAGGAAGAAAATGAAAATGTGATGCTCCATATTCTGGGTTTCGTAGTTGTGCTTGTAGACTTGCCTGGGAAAGAGAGCAGCTTGCTTCTTGTCCCTTGCTTGTCCTTAGCTCAAGTGAATGTGTGGGTAGGCTTGGCTAGAAGACCATTTATAGCAGACAGTTGGTCTTTGATGAACCTCCCCATCAACAGTTCTTTGATGTTCCTGGACGGGTATTCCTTTTGAATCAGAACATCAAACCTGACAAGTTCATAGTCTTGGAAGGCAGTCCTCTTTTCTTATTCATAAGTCAGAATATCTTGATCATTTGCAATAACGACACATTTATCAAATAAATGATAAAAGTATGGTTATAGGCTAAAGGCTTATGATTATAATGAGAGCTGTCCATGGATGCACGTGAATTTGTTTTTCAGCTGATTAAAAATTAAATTCAGTTTTTATAATTTGAAAAAAGTGCATGTAAGTTGATTATGAACACACAATTTCAGATCATTATTTATGATCACATTCAATAATATTGTTTTACAAAACTTTTATCACAGCTAATAAAAGTGGGAAATACACTAAACAACACAAAAAACACGCAACTTGCTATCGTTTATTAACGTCACTTAACGTAAGTCGATTAGTTTTTTTTCTAGAAAATAGAGAAACCTTTAATATGTATCAGTGGACTTAATCAATTAATAATTTAGAGCTCGATAAACGAATTATTTGATGTTTTTTTAATGTATTACACTATGCCACTTTCATAATCATTTTTTTGGAACTTATGCTGCCTTTTTCATTTTTATTTAGCTGCACTGTCTGTGTATCGGAGCATACATGCAATTAAACATTTCATTGCAGTTGTGCATATGACAAATAAGCAGAAAAGATCTTGCTGCTTAAATGCACCCACCCCCTTTGGGGATTAATAACGTATTTTGAATTAAATTGAATTTAATTTACGATTTACGACAATAAATGTGCCTTACAACAAATCACACATCCCTCTGCCACAAACTTCGATTTTCTTTCTCAAAAATGAGAAAACAAACCGAGCCTTTAGTCTGCTCACTGTAGGGCGAGATGCATGGGTAGTTTACCGATGAAGAACATTAAGGTGATCACTTTCTATTGATCCCTAACGTGTCTTTATTGTACACATTGTTCACACCATATACTTACTGACTCACAACGTCATTGGACGCACAATAAAGAGACTTTACAGTGTTGGTGCTTTGATGTCCAAAAGTATCAAACAGCTAGAAAAAGATCACACAGGTCAAACAATAACAAATCGTCCTACGCGTTTCAAACTCGCTCAGAACTCGGATGGTTCTTCAAACCGTAAAATATTTCTATCACTTGAAAAGCTCTAACACTACGATTTTAAACACTATAAAAAATCTCAACTCGGCTGCGAGGTAACGTTCTTGTGAATCACCATTTTCCAGTTCTATTCATTCGACTTGTCTTTTGCAAGTCTCTTTATTGTTTAGAGACCAAGGCAGTACCACATATTTAATATGAATTCCAAAAGTGTTTAAAGGCTCATTTGAGGAATCAAAATAGACTATATTCATTATTTGTTAAGATACAATGAAATATTAATCATGTGCTCATATGCAATTTGGGGTGATTAGCAGTGGTGTTGCTCTCACCGAAAGAAAACGGATTCACAAAAAACAACACAGGATTACACGGTTTAAAATCGTGTTTTGCAAAATCAAGGAGATAGTGATACCACACAGTTACTGTAAGGATATGTGATAAGATTACAGACCAGATTAAGTACACCAATAGAAAATGCTTTACATTGCAAATTCAAAGTATCAAGTGACCGCTCTAAATTTGCTAATTAGCTACTTCTTTAAGGATCGACAGAGCGATTTAAAAGCTTTGTTCCTAAACTGCTCAATCCCACCGTTTTTTAAAGAAAAAATAACTGCAAGCTCAGCTTCGTAAGATCGTTGAAAATTTCCGCCACTGTAGAATTGATTGGTTAATGATTAAAAACGTAATAACGTAGCACAAAAGAAATTTAGGCATACGAATTGTAAAATTTTTGGCTATTCTCAATTTCTTGCTCCCACCCTAACTAAAATGAAGAAAATAAATAAAAAATATTCCTAAATTAAAAACTATTTTTTTTTCAGTTTCAGATTTTATCATGAACAGTTTACTCGCTTGTAAATACTGTCTAATTGTTACAAAATAAGCTCCACGAAACAGTAATTTCGTTGAATTAAAACATTCTTTATCATCTTCTGAGAAAAAACTAATTCCAAACTTTTTTTTAACTCATTTAATGTAGTATGATTCATGTATGGTGTAGCTCAGATGTGTAAATAAAATTAAAAGAGCTTTTTATTTTTTTAATTTGTTGCAAGTATTTTATCGAATGTCTGAAATCATAACTTCACAACAAGGTAGACCTTGGTAAAACAAAGTAAAAAAATCAGAAAACGCAGGTTTTAGAACAAAAAACATAATTATATTCTCTTTGTATGGCACCTATCCCAGATTAGTTTTTATGTTTTAAATCTACGTTTCACGAAAAGAAACAGGATTTTCTTGTCTCAGGTAGAAGCTTTTGAAGATTACCAGCTTTTGAACATCAGTGGGGTGATTAAGATTTCTCAGGTGTTTCACTTTTTTATATACACCAATTAATAAAGCTACATGACAGAAATGAAAGCTTAAAAAGAACTGCTTTCTTTAGATGAGACAAGCATTAACAACATGTTAACGTCTATTGTAAGTAAGCTACAGGCTCGACCCACTAAATAAATTTATCAATTGATCCTTTCGAATGCATTGATTAGCTAGTACCAGACAAGGTTATGAATCGAAAAGCCTCATCTTGTGACCCTTTTGTTCTTATGAAATGCATTCAACGCCCTCTTGTGGTGTAACCTTTTAACTACACCTCTAAAGCAATGTAAATCATTAAATCAAGAGGACACCAGAAACAACATACGCATTGAAACAAAGAGCTGTAAACATAAAATCGCAGAAAACATCAGCATTAACAAAGGAGCACATAAAACAAATTGTGAGACCTTGTAAACGAACACATTACGAAGTCAGCATAGGGCACATTTGTTCTCTATTTTTCATTCCACTCTGGCCTCATAATTACGAGTGGACTATTATCATTAGTTTAGATTATCGATGTTGGCAAGCCTCTATGAAAAACTAAGACAAGTTAAAACTTTATTTTCTTTATTGAGTTTCTGTAAGAGCATATATGTGTAGTTATAAAAAGTAAGCGTACTGTAATTTTGAGTTGCTATTCTTCAAAAACAAGAGTGTTTTGGGTTCAGAAAACATGAATCAACCCATGACACAAAGAGAAGCTGTACGCCCAGACTTAAATATCACTCAGACACGTTTTTCTCATTCACTTTAACAATAATTCACAAAACAGGCTATTACAGCTGCCAGATGAGACACATTCATAGTTTGTATAGTGTTTGCCTTTACATGCTGAGAATCCAGACTGTGGTAGTGATAGAACATCTCAAATTAAACAACAAAATAGAAATATTGATTGTTTGAAAGGTAAAGCTAAAGCTCTGACAAAGAACTTTGAAATGATCAGAATCATTTCAAAACATCACCATCATCAAAATGGAAACAGACATCAAACACCACAGGTGAAATCGATGTGTCAAAATGTTCATAGGACATAGAAAAAAGATTCACAGGGGAAGTAATCTGCCTGTTTTAGTTCTCAGAAATCAACAACAACCTTTTCTTATATATAAAGAAATTCTTTAATTTGTTTTGTTCTAGTCATCCCAATGGATCTCAGCGATGACAGCTCCTACAGTGTCATCATACTGGGGTCTTGGTTTAGACAGCGCAACACTCCTTACAAATAAACTTTGTCTGCCTTATGTTTTGGGTATCAAGATAATACAAGGAATTTTTGGGGGTATCAAGACAATGAGCTGTAGAACCTCAGTAACTTAATGTAGGTAATTAAGAATCAATCTAACGCTTACAGTAAGGTTCAATCTCTTGTGATGGCATAGAATCTAAGTGTGATAGTAGATAATTTCTTGATGAATTATTTCTTGATAATTTCAAATGTAAGCCACATAAAGTCTACATTTCTGTGTATTGCTTCCTCATCCTTAATATTTACAGGGAAATTGCTTCAAAACACCTTCAAAGCCCACAGTGAAGATCATTTCAACATCTCCTACATCTATTCTTGTTGATAGAATTGGATTCAATTCAACCAGAATTTGAATTAATAGGCTACAACAAGTTGGCCAAAGACAAAGAGGGAGAGATGAGTGGTTTGCGTTGTGACCATAAGTGACAACATTTCCCTGACGAGTGGTAAGTTCATTTCTTGTCTAATTAAAATAAACATTTTCAGGTGAAATGCCATGGTGCCAACCTGTCCTAAATAGTATTTATATATGGAATACTTTACCTTCAAGTAGAATTGTCAGCCTACGGGGGACTGGTTCTACATTTCTGGAACATAACTACTGTTGCATGTTAGTAATGAAAAACAGGATGTTTTAAAAATTTTAGCTTTCCCCTTTTAATGACCTAAAGTGAATTCTACAGTAAATTCTATGAACTAAACCTTAAAGAAGTTAGTCCAGATTACAGGCTACAGGCTAAAATGTCTTTTGGTCTGGAAAGGTTTAGAAAGGGTTGGGATATATTGGGATATTGTGAACTTAACATGCAACAAAAATCAGCTGCTCAAGTCTTCTACAATGTTGTGACAATTCAAGACAGAAGAATGTCACCACACCAGATTCATTCAGGCAGCATTTTCTTTATTTCCTTTAGCTTACAATGACTGAGTGAAGTACCTACAGTACAAACAACACTCTTCAGCTCCACCAATAATGCAGTACACACCAAATCTGATGCAGCTGGTCAGGTGAGAGGTGTGAGGTATCCAGTGGTCACCACTAACAGCATTGTCAAAATACTGTACAGCAGTTTGGGAATAAAGTTAAAAAAGTCTATCCATACTTCATGCTTCAGATCTGACCACATCAGAAACAGTACAGTAGCAAATACTGTATAAAAATACTTAAAATCTTCATCTGATGAGTCAACATATGCAGACCCTACCTCTTCCTATTTTGTAAGCAAAAATTCAATTTGCTTTGTGGTCCCAATAACTAGATATATATTGCATATCCTTTTAAATGTCACAATCTAGTCCATTGGTATGTTTTTATTTTCACAGGCCATCCAAAAACGTCTTCACCTGCAGAACACAAAAGCAGAAGTGTGGGAAGATACTAGCAATACAAGTGAATTCTTAAAATATAAAAACATCTAAAATACATTTCACCTAGTCTCCCAAGATATTTATGAGCCCCCTTAGTCAATTATATCTGTCAACAAAAACACTTAATCTGTTTACCAGCAAATACAGGCACATCATAAATATGTACCTTGCCCATGAGTTTCCACTGAACGTCCTCATTCTTTTCAAACTCATTGTTGACATCCAGCACCAGAACAGGGTTGTTCTTCAGGTGCTCAAAGTGCAGCCTGTGGAAACAGAGAATTAGTTGGATACACCTGTAGGTCACACAGGATAATGGCTTCTGCTAAACCAATAAGAGATGGAGAAAGAGAATGGGCAGAAAAGGCAAAAGAGAACAACTACCAGCCATATAGTGCATAGTTTGCCCTTTCAGAAAGAGACATGTCATAAATCCAGTTTAGAAGACTGACTGGGTATGCCAGCCACTCTTGTGCTGTAAGAACACAACCACAAAGTGACTTTACATTCACAGCTTTGAAAGAGATGGAGAGAGAGGCTCACGGTGTGGTTCTGTGAACGAGCCAGTTCTCATGCTGTTTGTGAAGTTTCTCCAGGTATTCCAGCTGGATGCCCTTCTCTTCTGGCCTGGCCCTGTGACCCAAGCGCTCCAGACACCTCTGGCAATACAGGAAAAAAATAACTGGCAGAGTAACACAGACTAGATGAGAAATCTATAGTAGAATTATTATGAAATGAATGTGATATTAATGCCAGGTAGCCTAAATTAAAATAACACTATATAGAAGAATTGCATAGTAAGAAAACTGAGCTCTGTGAACCAGAATTACATTTTATATCATTTTCCACTGATTTCCATACATCATGCCACTTATTCTGCAACCCTGACAGAGGCTATCTTCTCCTGAACCCGAGTTTCCAGGCATGAAGTAAGCAATGTTTAAGAAATGAACATGTTCACATTTTCCCGTACATCAAGTACATCAAGAGAAATTAGTCACATGCTCGTTTTGGAAAACATTCACCAGAACTACACTATGAGATGACCTGTGTGGAAATAATTTCCTAGAGAATAGTTAAAATCGGAAAGGTGGACCTTACTTAACATTTAACTAACTTTTCTTTGAACAATCAAACCGAAATGTATGATATGATGTATTTAGAGTTTCAGGAGGCTTTTGATCAAGATCAAATATAAATTCTCAAATTACATGCTGTAGGCATTTGGGAAAATGTGGGTTTGGATTGATACTGGTTAATAAATAGTAAAGTACAAGTAAGGTGCAGATGCTCTTCCTAAATTGTCAATGAGCCAGACTGACAGTAGTTAGTCGGTTCAATATAGCACCAAACTAGTAGGATTAACACACATGCTAGAAGCAGCAGATTAAAATAAACATTTAGACAGAATTCAAGACTGGACAAACAGCTGGCAGATAAGATGAATATGAGATGTAGTATTCAATTGATGACAATGAAATTTAGAGGCAAGGCCTATGACTTTCCTCCAGTAAGTTTTATAGCTAGAGGTACTAAAACAATATGCTATTACATCTAGTGAAAATTTAAGAGACACATACAGTTTTTACGCAGATTATATCTTATTTTAAAATGTGTTTTTAAATCTACAATTTATAACTACTTGTCCAAGTCTATTTCACACACAGGCCTACCTGGTAGTCTTATGAATCTGCCTTACATGACATGTCCAGAAATAAACGATGAATGTGTGCTCACATTTTAATGTTAGGACACAGACACAATAGGGCCCCTATTGCCTGACAAGAGCTATTAAAAACATTTATTTTCTCTTTTGTGATGGCATGTGGCTTTGCTGGGTACAGTAAAGCATATACATATTCCTGACACAGAGTCAGTTATAATTTGTGTTCCATTATCTTGTGCTGTAAGTCAAATAAGAATTCATGAAATAATTTGCAAAGTTCATTTGTTTCCCCAATCATAATTTCAGGATGCTGTTTGTAGGTTATTGATTGATGTTTCTGCTCATAAAGGTTAAAAGTTATTTTGGAAGCTGCAAAATGTAGTAGTACACTCCAGTGCCTTGGTGAAATTGCTGAATTTCTATGAAAAAGGCCTTATATTTTAGACAGTCAATCATTATTGACTAATGTACAAATGTATATTTCCATATAAGGTTGAACAAAATGTTTTGTTCAGCAGAATCACATTTAATCAGATACAAAAACAGGTGGATGCTGCACATTGGTGGTGGAGGGGATCCCCATTATGTGTAAGGCACTTTGAGTGGAGTGCCCAGAAAAGTGCTATATAAATGTAAGGAATGGTTCTTATTCTTATTATTGAAACAAAAGACTATCACTATGCAAAGACCTCACTTAGGCTATGGTATAAAATCATTAGAACTCGCTTAGAGGAAAACAGCATTTATTTTGTTTCGTGAACAACCTACAGTGACTCAATCCATTAAAAGGCAAGACGAAAATAAAAATTGAAATCAAGAGTACATGCTGGTGAGGCTGAGTGTGGCAGTACCTCTGGGTTTGCTCTCAGGTAGACGATGCCTTCTAGTTGAATTCTTCGGCCAAACTGCTGCACCAGAAATGTATGCCAGTCCTGATAGATAGCCCACTCAGTTTCATTGATGTAGCCCAACTCAAATAAGGTCAGTGCAAAGACATACCTCAACACAGAGAAATAATCATACTATCAGAGAGTATCATGTGCATATAGCTCACAGTTAAACTGCATTCCTACTCCACTTGTATTACAGTTTTCCCTGTGATCCTCCTTGCTCAGGCAGTACCTGTCACTGTAGACAGACCTCTCAAAGATCTGTATGGGCTTCTCCAACTGCAGCAGCTGGAGAGGGGGGGGCTCCAGGTGGGACTTGATGCGACTCATGCAGGAGTACGTCTGAAAGGTATAGGACCAGCGCTGAGGCTCCTCATACATCATCTGCAGCAGGTTACTGGCAGTCTGCTGGGAGGCTGACACACCCTGATGGCAGAAAGAGATTCAGACGGTAGCACCCTTCATTGTACAGTCCTGAGCGGAAATCCTCAAGGCTTTCAGTTTCCACCAATTTTAAATATAACTGAAATATTTACAGTAGAACTTCAATCAACCATGCTAACTGGGTCCAATGGCTATGGACCCACATAACTTTAATATTCTGAAAATACTGTTTACACAAGTGCAGCACTAATTATGTTCATATAGATACACTTCATAACATGATCAAATTAATCAAACTGCAGAGTTTTAATAAAATTCATTGACTGAAAAAAACAATTGTTTATGATATTTAATATTGCTTTATACTGATTATTCCTGAGTACAGTATACAGTATTTGTCCAAATTAACCAATTTAACACCTCTTACAAATGTTAGGAATTGATGATAAGACTACAGAACTCGAGGTACTCTGATCTAGTGACTCACATTTGACTGAATAGCCCACATTGGTGTACAAATTGCACACAACTATAACCAGGACTTCAATATCTACAGAAATAGCCTTTTAAATTATTCTAATTGGAAATGGGTAAAATACAGATTTTTTTTCAGGTAGGTTACAATCTGGGTAGAAACTGAATTTGCACTACTTATGAATAAAGAATAGACTGGAAGAAAAATGTTATCTTCTGAAACAAATAAGTCATACTATTTCATAGAAGAAAGACAATCAGCACTGATGAAATATCACATCCCTGTGCGGATTTCATCACAGCAAGGTGTCTGTTTTTAAATGTTTTGCCTTTCAAAAGACGATTGTGCACAGCCTTCAGAATGTGAAAATCAGAAATAGATCAACATGAATCTTTACTTACTCTGTTGTTGTCTCTTACCTCAGATGGTCCAGGTGTCTGGATGTTCTGCCACTTGTTGAGGGGCTCTGCTATGACCTCCCACTGCCTCTCTGTCTTCTGTAACAGCCGAGCAAAGGTAGACTTCCCCACAGCTGTAGCCATACCAGACAGAACACATCTGCAGGTCAGTGCAGTACTTCAAGTGTTTGTTACAAGGAGAAACAATAAACTAAAACAAATTCTTCTATTGCAGTTTTTATCTAGAAAGTGCAGGGCATACCTAGACTGCTGTCTCAGTGAAGCATGAACTCCTAGAATTCTACAGATCGTTATACAAATATATATATAAAATTGATATACATTTCTTTTCATCATCTAGACATCAGTAACAGGTGAAACTGCTGCGCTGTTAGAAGTCCTGAGCATTTCTATACATAATACACTTCCATACCGATAATTCCATACATACAATTAAAACGTAAAACTGGATTATTACGTAAAGTAATAATTCCTTCTAAAACCTTTCAAATATGTCAGTGTTTGAAAGAAAAAGTCCAACACAAACACAATTTTCCTAATGACGCTGAAACGTCACAAAGCAAGGAAACGTATCTTACTCTAGAATATGCTAACACAAAAGTCGATCACATTGTTTATAATATAATAATATAATATACAGTATCTAATTCATAAAAATGAAATTACCAATATTTCCTTCAATTGATATCCTTTTAATCCGAGACCATGCGTTCGGTTGCTCCACGGGGCTTGTGCCCAGGTTACATCTGTGCAAACGTGAAGTCGTACGGGCACGTTTAACAGATGCAGGGTACATTGCCTGGTACGGCGTTTCAAAGACACCGAGTGCTTTGCCCCCTCTTGAAAAACTGAAAAAGCGACAGTATATCTTACTGGCTAAATTCAGTGAAAGAAACACACACTCACGACGAATCTGTACTCTCATTTTTTTTTCTAAAAATGCCTTACTTTTTATAATATTACAATATAATAAGAGTCATCGAGAAAATCTTAACATTCAGACAGTTTTAAAATGAACTCCTGCATAAAATCCAACCCACGTTTACGAAAACGTTACATCACCGGGATTCACGCTACTATCACCGGGACGCCACAATATAAAAAAAAAAACACGAGATACTGAACTGTCACCGGATGTTTTTACCATTACTTCCGAGTGCCCTCTGCTGCGTAGTACGAGTAATTAAAGTAGCTAGAAGCTAGCGATTTCAAGCAGCGAGAATGACCCAGGTTCTCGGCGATATATGTTAAGCAATAAACCCAATTGTTTAAAATTCTTTAAAGTTGCTTAAATAAGAAAGAAAGAAGAAAACGTTTCACTGAAATTGAATAGCGTTAAAAACTCTATTCTGTGTCATTCTTATGCATTGGTAATGAGTGCTGAGTGTTACTTAGCGGTGATGGTCACATATTAATTCATAATTAGCGTACGCTTTCACGAACAAAAAAAGGATTCTGTCGCGTTTTTTCCCTTGTAACAGTTCTATCATTGAATGTTCAGTCGGAATGAAGATATCATCCACGTAGAAATAAATACTTCATGAGCTTTACCAGTACCGTCTTTGCGGAAGAGAAGCTAATCATAATCCGTTGAGGGTTTTCGACAACTAGTGAAATCGGGAGTTATATTAGGGGGTCTTTCTTTCCTTAAGTAGAAAACATTTTCATACAGTGTATTGTCTTTCTACCTAGTTCATTTCCGCAGTCTCTGGCTTTTCTTAACAATCTGATTGCTGTTCCTACGCCTGTCTCCGAAAATATTTTATGCCCCAGGTTTCTGTGCAGTTTTAATAACACTACTTTGTCGGAATTGCTTAGTTTCTAATAATGTAAAACGGGTAATAAAATATACGGTTTTATGTACGTTTCCTCTTGCTTTCAAAATGTTACTTTATATTATACTTTAGAGATAAAATTCTTCAGACAAACATGTTGATGTGCTTTAATGCCAATAAAATAGTGAACATTGTTGATGTTGAGATGTTCAGAAACTGATGGTCAGATTTACGTTAAGAAACCGTAACAGTTTTCATACTCGGTCGCTCCTGCTCTATTTCAGTGTTACTTCACATAGAAGAAACGACCAATCATACAGTTAATGATATAATACCCAATGATATGACTCAAAAATTTAAATGACTGAAAAACAAAATTCATCTAACTAGCTAGAGTTCCAGACTTGTCAGTTGAATGTGTAAGTGTAAGACTGTGAGGTTAGAATAGTTTATACATAATCTATGCCATATTCAGTTTTCCTGTGTAAACTCACAATGTGCACAACCCTCATTACCTTCTCCACTTGATTTTACACAGGAAAACTGAATCAAGTGGAGAAGTTAATGAGGGGTGTGCACATTGTGAGTAAGCTTTATGACTAATAATAATAATTACTACAACAATAAAACATATTTTTGTCTTCACTGTTTAGAGTTCCAAAATGTCATTTATACTTACAGCTAGGGAAAACTGTGATGGATACAGATATGCTTTGCTCCTCCAATTATACAATCAATCACTCCTGGACTAAGTATTGTGTATTATTTTGAGGGAAGGGTGGCATAATGGGATCTTTAATTTGGTGGATTTTAGGTAAAAACAGACTCACCAATGCAGCCATAAGGTACAAATAGTGTTCTTTTATTTACAGTGTGCAGTTACACTCCAAACAAAATGAAGCAAGAAAATAAGACAGAAGCCTAACTCTTCTTTGAGCTTCTAATTTCTAAAATCCTTACCTATGTAGACTTACATGTAAAGAATTTTAGTCCTGTGTTTATAAAAACCTTTAAACATACTTTAGAATGCTCTTAATGCTTAGGAAAACTATTTTGAATCAAGATGCAGGTGGGAAGGACAGCACTCAAACATGCCCCCAATGATTCTGTTTTTTTCCTTTTCTACATTGCAGTTTACATTTCAGGAAACATATGTGAATGAACTTGCTGCAGGTGTGATACCAATTCTACATTCTATTTGAATTTTATTTTAAGAGCTGAAATCATAGACATTTTCCTCAAAAAGTATTTAACTTCTTTAACCTGAGATTAGAAAATTGGGCTCAAGTGAAAACAGGAAGACACTGTGGTGCTGTAGGGCTGGGAACCACTACTCTATAAATCATTAGATGCATATCCATAGGATGGATGATTTTCTACATTTTGCATCCCTGGAAAAGAATATATGCATTTTTGCACTGTATTTGCAAGAGAAAATATATTCACATTTTAAATAAATATAACCATTGTCATTCTCTAGCTCAAGTATATGTTCAAGGGTTGCACATCACAATATTTGTTTATCATTTTTCATTTTTACTTACAACTTAATTGCTTGGTGCAAATCTCTGGGAGTAGCATGAAGATGAAAATATATGTATATACCATTTATATACAGGTACATACATGTATATTGTATACCATGGGGTAACTGTAAAGGTGTTGATGGGGTAGAGGAGGGATGTAGTGAGACAAATTTGAACAAGAGAAAAGATTGTCCTTATTACAATTGTTTCTAGAAGTGACATCATGGAGAATTACTAGGTTCACTTGCAGAAGTAAGGGAAACTTTATTTGCTGTCCTCCTTCCCTAAATATTTCTTAAAATTTCCATTTAATTACTCTTACAACACAAAATTAGAGATACACATCTATACCAATAGCATGCTGAAATAAAGGTCTTGAAAGCTAGAGGTCAGCAGTATTTCACAATCACTGAAAAATTAAACTGAAAAATAACATCATTAGTTATACAAAACTTATATAGAATTCAGAAGAAAATTATGTAAATTTGTTAAGATATCTAAGTAACATGAAGCGTTAACATTCAATAGAAGCATTAATATTGTAAACCAAATGTTTAATTTCACAGAGCTTGCTGCAGAATTATTTATAATTTTAACTTAAAATATGAATAAGCATTAAACATTTGTCAAATGTATCGTAAAGAAAATGATATATTTTATGCAGTATACTGCTGATATATAGAAGTCAATCAGTTGTTTTTGTCAGATTGTAATTTTATAACTGGGATACACATCTACAGACATTTACAGACGAATTGAAGTATTAATGTCTGTATGTTGTATGTCAGGAAACAATATTAATTCAATAAATTAGTCATTTCATCTTTAATACATGTCATGAATGTGTGTCCAGTGTGTATTACAGTATGAAATGTAAAATCCTTGGTTATTTCATTAAATCAATCTGTAAGTGTATGTATTGTATATTGTGTAAGTTTACCTTTATACAGAAAACTGGATTTTGAGCCTATACAATCTTTACCCATTGAGAATTCCCAATCTTTAAATGTTCTCAGCACCTAAGACAATTTTACTCCATCTTTTTTTTTTTCTCCACAACCACTAGCACAGCACTAGTCAATGATACTTTCGTATGTATTTACAATGGGCAAGAGTAATTCAGGGTCAGTACAATCTGAGGTATACCAAAAGCCTTGTTTGAAGTGATCTTTAGTGGCAAAAAACTGCACCGTTTTCCACTTTAATAGATATTTTCATTGGGCAGATATGAAGAGGACCAGGGTAGCCAGGAAAGAAGAAGGGAAACACCTTCTCAGCAAATGTGTCTTGAAAAGTGTAAATGGGCGTTTTGTCACTGAGATCAAAGAATGACACAATACCACAATCATAGTCCAACTGCACTCTTATCTTCTTTGGGCTTCGCTTTGGACTAAGTTGTGTATCTGGTGATGTCATAGCAAAGTAGTTCCCACCCCACAGACATATAGTCCAAAATCCTCTTCCTGGGCTGGGAATGATGAGTCCTTTCCTGTCAATGGATTCTTTGGCAACACCCAGAATCCAGTCAGTTTTGTCTCCTACCTCAACATCCCAATAATGTCTGCCTGAGGTGAACCCCTCAGATCCAAGCACACATACCCGGAGATCAAATCTCTCTGGGTTGTCTGGAATCTGGTTTCTCTCTTCAGTGTATCTCAAGCTGGTTAGATCTTCAGATAATGAGAGATAGGAGGCAGCTGTGTTGGGGTCCAGAATCACAGGAGCTTCAAGGAAAATAATGAAAAAAAATATTGAACCACCCAACAAAATGTTGACTGCAAAGATAAAAAAAACTTAGCTATTCTAATATTTTATCCTCAAAATATTTTTGGGCTAACTACCTATTACCCAGTGAAGAGCAATAAACTAATGAGCTGTAGTAGAATTTTACATTGACTATAACATTCAATATGTTTCTGACTGTAGAGTAACTATGCACCGACAACCAGTTGCCATGAAAATGACAAAATCTTGGTTACTTGCGACTCGTCCTGTTAAACATCAAAGCTGGTGAAAATTGCAAAAGGAAAACACAAAAGGAAACAATATGCCCCACTTAGAACAGCACCTTTGTGCTATCAGAATAATAGAGGTTGGACTGTCAATTTCTGTCTGCACTGTTCACATAAAGACATTTCTAATCTGGCAAGACATGACTGATAAATACAGTCTGTCAATTATAGGCTGATATCTAGCAATGACTGCCCTAGATAATTGCCTGATTATCCCCTGACTTAAATGAACATTTGTGGGATAAGCTGGGACAACACGAGGCATCGAGGGCTCAAACCAGTGGAGAGACACATGCGCAAACACTAGCTCTACAAGAAGACTCCAGAACAAACCAGCATCTGTAAACTGGTGCACAGCATGATTTGCAGATGTACAGCTTGCATTGCGTCTGAAGGTGGCCACACAACTATTAGCCACTGACTTATTCAACCTTGTTGATGACAAAGGTAAATGTGGAAAAAGATTCCACAGCCAAAACATTGCATCTCTTTTCTTTTCCTTTTAGCATGGACTAAAACTTTCCCCATTCCTTTACATATATTATGTCTGTTTAATAAAATATCACTGCTACAAAAAAATATTTAGTCAGATTAACATTGTGAGTTTGTATTAGTTAGATGTAATGTCTCCCCGACATCAGTACTTACTATATTGAATAATTCCCAGCATCTTCTCCCAGACTTTGTACTTCAGAGATCCCAAGTGCTTGGCAACATCTATCAGCGCTCCTGGAATTCCTTCTGGATCTTGAAGTGTGCACTGAGTCCTGTAATAATACTCAGGGATCAGTCCTGCACTCAATTTTTGTTCAATAATAGAAAAGATTAAATCAGACCAATGTTTACATACCTTCTCTTTGTGTTCTTGTAGTTCTGAGGAAAAAAAAAGATGAAGTTGTTATTCATATACTGTACATTGACCTTTGACATTTTGATATAGATGCTGGACATAAGTAAAGTAATTTGTTTGAAACTATTGCCATCCTCATACAGACAGTTCAATTGTCCATTTCTATTACACCAAACAATCCCTTTCCATTATGTCTTGCAAAAGTAAAAATGAATATTAGTTGAACACATATAAAGCAATTAATTGAAGTTAAAACATCTCATGCTCACACGTAAAAATTAAAATGGTTATTTACCGATAGGCTGCTGCGTTAAAAAACACTGATATTGAAAGTAGAAAGCCAACATACTTTATCTATAAATGCTAGCATTTGATATCAGCTGTAAAATGGTTTAATATTTAACTGCCAGTTTTAGTGCTTTGTTTATGTTGAGTAAGTAAACACTGTTCCTTCCTTTTCCTGTTTAAATGTATGTTGTTGTCTTTGTAATTGTAATTGTTTTTCTACAGGTTTTTAAACCTTAAGGGAATTTAAATAGCTTGCTATCAGACTGTGCACACGTATTTTAAGGGTTAATCACAATGGTTTAAGGACCTTTTCAGACATCTTTCTGCTCTCCTATTGGGGTCATATACCAAACAGACATCAGCAATGTAGTGTTCAACTGGCATTGGCAATCCCCAGTCACATTCTGAAGGTTTTACTAAAATATGTTCAGTTGCAGTTTCTTTTGAGATGCTTATTTTATCAGGCAAATCAATTAATTATAGTAACACTTTTGTTCTCAGTTATATGGCAGTGCAATAGAAGAGGAGCAAGCTGACAGATCCTGCTTCAACTACAGTATGTTCCCCAGAAGCCTGTGGGGACCTCATTCCATTAGCTAACCAATCTGGTAAAGCCTGGACCTGAGGGAGGGATTGGTTGGAACCTGAAATTGTAAAAGAGTGGCAGTTGTCTCCAAGACCAGAGGCCTTTGAAGTGGAGGAACTGCTCTGAACCTCAAGAGAGAAGGGAACCCATTTCTCTAAAGCTCCAAACAAGGAGAGCAGGCTATTGCTTTGCCCTGAGCTGAAGACTGAAGGTTCATGTGCTAGAGAATGGTAAGGTGGTACTGCCGAAGTCAGAGAGAATGAGGACCTCCTAAGCCAGAAGAACCACTCAAACACTCAAAGGGGATGAAATGTCTTCAAAACCCAAAACCCGAACAGAAGGAAAATGAAGGCAGGAGGTTGCTGCTTCCTCGGCCTGAAACCGAAGTCGGAGAGTATGATGGGGGAGTGCCAAGGTCACTCCCAGTGAAGGTGGCTGATGCTTCTGCATACCCAATTGCCCACAGAAGAGGGTACTAATAGAGGTGCCTGACTGGAAAGAGGAGCTGAGGACCCTCTAGTACTATTAGGAGGAACCACAGCAAAGTGTGAGCACAATCAGGGAGTGGAGTCTATAAATTATGTAAAAAAAGGATTGTTTACCAATGGTGTAATAAAGTATTTGTTTTTAAGGCACAGACACCATAACATGGACTATATAATTATTTCAACAATATTAGTATTCGCTTTGATGAGATTAATATATAAAATACTAATGACATAACAACAATAATACACGACATTGAGTCCATTTGTAATAGTGTATGTAATGTGTTAAGAGATAAAAAATGAATTTCTCTCACTTCAGTTATAAATATATTCTTAAACATCTAATAGTTATATTACTTTTTGTCTATTTACAGTTGTTCTACAAACAAAAAAATATCAGTAAGTGCATTTAAAAATAATATTTACTGTTTGACTAAAGGATATTATTGTTGAGTAATAAACAGTTCTTACCTGTAGGAATGATATATCTCCAGCTCCTGTCACCTGTTCTATGGCTCTGATTGTGTCTAAAAGGGATGATTTTGCTTTTGTAGTGTTCTCAATCTTCTTCATCATCATTTGAGTCTTTTGCTCATATTCCTCCCTCAGTGCAGCTATCCTTACTGCTTCTTCATCTCTTAGGAATTGATGAAGTTTCTCAAATTCTTTCGTTATCTGTCTTTCTGTTTGACAAAACTGGGTCTAGATTGGAAGAAAAAAAAACATATTTTGAACATATTTGTCACATTTATACTCACTATTTTATTTTCAATCAACACAGCGTAGCAAGATTTACCCTAATGTGTTCTTCTGTTTTCTCATATGTTTGTTTCATTTTACGAAAAGATTCCAGCTTCTCCTTCAAAGGATCCAGTGCAGTCTGGAGCTGATTCTGGAATTTAATTAAGAAATTAAATTAGAAACAAAATGCACGAGACTAAAGGTAGAACATTAGCAGGTAATCATCATAGAAGTGGAATTACAGAAATGTGTGAAATAAAGAGTAATGGATACAATATAACTCTTATACATTGCAACACTAATGGTTCCACAGTGTTCTGGAGAGACATTGAAGATGGAAGAAGGGGAATGATGCGTGGAGAAAATGTCTGACTGAATCTAGTTCTAGACTTTCAAACAATACAGATAAAGGTACGAAAACAGAGATGAAAGACCTATTAAAGAAACCTAATAATAAGTTGTGTGCTTTTTAACTGCACAGGTAGATTGCAAAACAAAGAACTTATAACTTAAGGAAAGAAACTTGCAAGAATAACACAAACCTAATGAGAATCAGAAAGAAAAAAGTATCAGTACAGAATGGAGGAGAGGTGCTTAAAGATAGTCTGCTTGAAGCACATCTAATTTCCAATTTATATTGCGAGAGTAAATTAAAAAGCTTAGAAGCTGTGCCTCAAAGGTTTTAATCCATCGATGAAGTCAAATGTAAAGATAAAAAAGCACTTTATAAAATTATCAAGAAAAGGATCAGTATCCAGTTAAAACAGAAAATAAAGAATTGCAAGCACCGGTAAAAAAGGACATTTGAAGGTAAAAGAAAGAGAACAATGGGAGTAAGTAATCAGAAGAGTAGTCTGTTATAAAAAAAGTTTTTAGTAAACTGGATGCTTGTCTGATGTGAGCAACTGTATCAGCATAGTTATTAATCTGACTAAGTTCTATTTAAAGACTGTTTAATTTCTGTGAAAGGCCATGTTGCTGCGAGCCTTATCTGTTTGTTTGTTTTGTTTTGGGTATTACAAACTGCACAATTTTACTCTGAATGGTTGTTTTACTTTTCTGTTGATAATGGATCGATTACTTTACAAGCTGAATGTTTGCGTATAAGTGTTTCAAATTTTCATGACATGACGGCTATGCTTAGTAGAATCTCACCAGTACAGGCCTGCACAAACATTCTATTTATAAGTAGGACAAAGGAAAGAATTCACAGAAGCACAATACAGGTGTTATCTGGTATAAATTATCTAAAAGGAACCTGTTAAATTTAAGTGTCTCATCTGCTTTGTCATCCTCTTCATCTCAGAAACTCAATAGCAGTATCTCACAAATGTGAACAAAAAAATAACAAGACAGTGCACCTCTCTCCACTGCCTGTCTGAAATTATTTTTATTGGCTTAACTCTATGAAGCAAACACAATACAAAAAGAAGTGTTCTATGATTTTGTTAAAGAATGTTAGGGATTTTACATCACACAAGAAGAGTTTGTATTGCATAACCTCGAAAAACAGTTTCTTTGTCTTATAAATAATTTTGATTGAAACCCTTGTGAATTTTTGATGGATAACAATGAGAATTTCATGTCTGTCTGAAATCAAGTATTCTCAGGTGGTTTTAAAAATAATAGTAATATAATCTCCTATCACAGACACCAACATATTCATTTAGAGATTTTAGAAATAATTTGTTTGCAATACTTAGACATGAAAGCAGAGGATAAAAAAGTAATCTTTGCCTCAGAATATAGTTCTATTTTAATTACCAGCTTCAATTATTTTCAATACATATCATACATCATTATTTAAAAAAAATGCTTTCAAACCTTATAAATCTGAGCTGCTTCCTGCAGTGGGCGTAATGTGTGATTTTCATGATTTATAGAAGTCTGACAAACAGCACAAAGAAGCTCTTGATCATCCATGCAGAAGAGCTTTAATTTTTCCTGGTGAAGACAGCACAGAACTTCTGCCCTTGCTGGATGTCTTGAGTATTTCTCCTTTAAGAAGGTTTTGGTAATATTCTTTAAAGCCAAGTTGGTAGGAGGCCGGAATTTAGAAGACCTTCTCCTGCAAACAGGACAATCCTGAGAGCACCTCTCTTCCCAGAACAGCTCTAGACATGCTTTACAGAAACTGTGACTACATGTCAGTAAAACAGGATCCTTGAATATGTCAAAGCACACAGGACAGGAGAGCTCCTCTTCCAGGAGATATGATCTTGTCGACATTTCTTAACACTCTGTGTTGATCTCAGTTGTTGCTCCTTGGCAAAGTATGAGACTGTTTTGGTTTCATTCACTGCTTTTATACCCATGGGTGAAAAACAAACAAACCTTGAAATAGTAGGTGTAACTGTTTGTTAAGCTTCACACTTTGCTGTTGCTCATTTGCATTCAGGTGTATTATTCTGTACATACAATAAATATCAAACACCAATAATAATTCAAATCATAAGCAAACAAATCAAAATCCATCTTTTCTCTTCCTGTCTGACTCACAGAACACAGGTTCAGAACTTAATTTTGTTGAGTTGGTAACATCCAACAACAACTGTTTTGGAATGAAATACATAATACATGGCGTTTTCAGTGAAATGTAAAGTTAATAATAAACCAAATTCTTTGCAACAAACTGAAAAGGCAATAGACACATATTTAGGACATTGTTTAGGACTAGTGCAGAAAGCTGGCAAATGAAATATAATATTGACAAAACCAAAGATTTCAAGCAGGTAGCATAAATAAATTATTTTTTTTCTAAATATGAAGAAATGTTTTTTGGTGTCTTGGTGAGAAATTAGAGGCCTATTTTCTGTTTAACAGCACTTTCCTTCTGTGATTTATTTGATATTTCTGGATATTGTTCAGTTATGAATGACACAAATTAGAGGAAAAGTGACATGAGTGGGTAATATTGTAGTCTTCTTGCTGCCTGACAGTTGTGTAAGTATCCTGATCTACTTATGTGTCCTGATCAGCCTCTTCGGTGCTGGCTAGTGTGATGTTAATCAGTGCCTTCCCATACCCTTCCCACTGGCCCCTGATCTGACAGCAAATTTTGCAACCCCATTATTTCTGGGTGTGGGGCTAAGCCATTGAACCTTCAGGACATTTTAAGCAAAATAAGGCTGGCAGTGTCCTTATAAAATGTCTAAACATATTGAATCACTGACAAACTAATGAAATGATGGAACCATCAAGGAGACATGAAAGAGAGACAAATGTCACACCAGCAGGAATCTTTAAGTCCTCATTCAAGTCAAAGCAGGGGCACTATTTATTGTCCACTCTTGGTGCAATGTAAAATGACATGGGGAGTAATTATTGTAAGGAGTCAGATGCCAATCTTTTAGCAGGATTGAAACTTTTCCCACCCCATCCTGTACATATTAGTACACACAAAAAATACAGGCAAACCAGTTTCAGTGTCTCAAAGGATTTGGTGTGTGACTACAACAGTATGATTTATGATAAAGGTTAACAATAAAAGCTTAAAGGTTAACAGTATTATATTCTTTAGTTATTTAATATGTTTGTAAACACTGAAGCCAGCTTTTCTTAAACTATCACACATGCACAAGAATATACTCTTTTGTCTGTTTACTACTGTTCAAAAGTACTCTCAGCCAAAGTGTAGATCAACAAACACAGCTACATACAGGCAACTACCAAACTGAAGGAAACACTTGAGAAAATTAGGGATACAAAGTAGATGAAAAGCAGGTGCTTGCACACAGGTGTGGTCTCTGAGTTAATTAAGCAATAAACATCCCATCATGCTTCGGGTTATGTATAAAAACACTGGGCAGACCCAGTTGTCCATTATTTTGGCTACCATCGCTAGAAGATCTCAGTGACTTTGAGAGAGGGGTGATTGTTAGGGCACGTTTGGCAGGAGCTTCAGTGATGAAGACTGCACAATGTGCTGATGTTTCATGAGGAACAGAGGCTAAGGTGATGCTGACATAGAAGACTGAGGGAAAGACATCATTATCTAGGGGCAACTAAGGACAAAAGCACATACTCTTCGACTGCAATGCCTGTGCATTGAATCAAGATGCAAGGCAAAACAGACATGCAAAGCACAGCCAGGCAGTTTCACCAACTACAGTCCACAGAGAGGGATACTACAACTGGGTAGCAGAACATAAACCCCTTATAACACCTAAATATGCAGTTTTGCGAGTACACTTGTGCAAACAACACAGGCAGTGGTCTACTGAGCATTGGTCAGAGGAGTCAGCCTTCACCCTGTTCTCAACAAGAAGATGAGTACATGCGTGACACATACCCGAGTGCTTGTTTCCCACACTGAAGGGTTCTTGAAACTCTGTTATGATGTGAGGTGCATTTTCCTGGCATGGGTTAAGTTTACTCAACCCTTTAGAGGGCAAGGTAAATGCCAACAAATACAAAACCATTCATGAGTGATCATGTCCATCCTGTTGTGAAGCATTTCTCTCCTGATGGGAGTGGAATCTTCCAGGATGCCAATGTTCCTGTCCACAGAGCACGAGTGGTCACAGAAGTATCTGTGGTTGTCCCAGTCACTAGATCTCAACCCAGTTTAATAATGATAAATTCCAGAGTGGCACATAAGATAGCTTTTTCCACCACTGCCATCAACAAAACACCTACTGTCTTGTTGAAGAATGATGTCACATCCCTTCAATGGAGTTCCTGACTTTTGTAGAATCTACAGTATGCCAAAGCACACTGAAGCTGTTCTGGTGGCTCATGGTGGCCCAACCCCTCATTAAGATGCTTTATATTGGTGTTTCCTTTATTTTGGCAGTTACCTGTAGATCTCTGTAGTGTTTTATTTAACTAGTACACAACAGTTAAGGACATTCCAGGCCAAATCTTCAAATAATTATATATGCTTAATATGAGTAAAGAATGTTCTATATAAAAAGATGGACAAACATTAATGTATTTGTCCCTCTTCTTTTGAACCACACCACATGGAGTATAATAAAAAAATGTGTCTGGAAATATAGACAAATCTAAGACAACAGCTGATTGAAAAACAAAGAGCCCAGAGTTTATTGTATATTTTAAGTCGATACCTGTTCCTGTTTTATGAGAAACGGGTATCAGTTTCCTCTAACATATTTACATACTCAGGATTCCAAATAAACTTACATTTCCCAGGAAAAAAAATCAAGACATTCATGAACCCTTTGCAGATCTCACAGGTTTTTGAAAACAAACCCCATATAAAGAGTTAAAATACAACTATACAGAATCACACCTTAGTTCAAAGTCCCCATGTTTTACAACACAACACATTAACCAGTTAACTTTTTCCAGTTAAGCCTTTGGTTTTACAGATCATCTGAGAGTCTTTGAGGTTCTCAGTAATTAGAACATTGCACTCTCTGGAAATTGTGCATGTTGTTTTAATAAATTTGTATGATAAAAAGGTTAATCATTCTTTTGTCTTATTATTGGCAATCTTTGTCAAAAGCAGCACAGAAAAATGAAACAAGTGTCTGTTTCCTAAAATACTATATCTGAACTGTTGGTTCTTATTTTTCAAAGAAAATAATTAACCTGTTTGTCTTCATTTAGGAAAACAAATAAAGATAAAATATTTTATTTATCTGTATGTACACTTCTTCCACACCCCTGGATACCTCATAAGCGTGTTTGATTACTTGTTGTAGCACCTTTTTGTATCTTCAGAGCTCTGTAATTTTTAGTATTATGTTTAAAATAACATTTTACATGGCAGTGTCAAAACTTCTCCTTGAATAGTGTTTCACCAGAATATCATCTGTCCCTCCAATTAAAGTAAAAGGCATTTATTTAAAATGCAAGTTAATTTGGTTTATAGTTGCTGTCATATGCATCTTTCACAAATATTTCTCACACATAGGCACACATTTGCCAGTACTAAACACAAAAAGAACTACACTACATTCACTTATCTCACCTGTAGCTCTTGGATAACATTTTTTTATGAAACAAAGTGGTATTCTTTGATCTTCAAGGAGACTGTAATAATAATCATAATAAATTTACTTTTAATTTCAAACAATAGCAAACAAAATGTTCATGAAATTATGATATTGTTTTCCTTTTGTCTAGTTAAAAATTATATTTCTTCCATCTCTTTTTACTACCTTCGAACATAATGGTAAATCATAACTTACAAAACACATTGAAAGATTTACAATTCGGGGAAACTATTACATGTTATGGTAGAACTGTTCACTTAGCTTCTTACGGATGATGCAGTGAGGGGTGAATGCTGAAATGTAGTTTATGTGATTATGAATTCCACATGTGTCCGTATTATAGACTACAACTCTTCCCAATTTTTACCATTGATCTAGATTTTGCTAAAGGTAAGTTAGAAACCTATTCAAGTTCACAGATTATATCAAACTAGGGGAATGAGCAAACAGTTTAGAAACTATAAGAGAAATTCAAAACATATGTTAATAAGTATTTAATGTAGACAGACACAAAGTGTTTTATAGGCCAGCAGCCATGTCACCTGCAATTTACAATTGCCAGCCCACTGAAGCTAAGCAGGTGTGAGCCTGGTTAGTACCTGGATGGGAGACCTCCTGGGAAAAACTAAGGTTGCTGCTGGAAGAGGTGTTAGTGAGGCCAGCAGGTGGCACTCACCCTGCAGTCCATGTGGGTCCTAATTCCCCAGTATAATGATGGGGATACTGTAAGTGTTGGAGTATTCTCGGTTGCATTTATTTGGTAAATCGCAAAGATTTGGTTCAAACCACCAAATGGAGACTGGTGTGCCGACAAGTGGACCCTGCTGATGCGGGATTAACGCTAGGATGAAAGAGAGACACAAGGTGTTTCATGTAGGTGGTCAAAATATCCAAAATACAAACTGTGAAAAGGGAAACAACATTGAAACAATACAGAGGGAAATTAAATGTTAGGAGATAAATATATAGAGTGTAGAATTTAAATTAAGTAATGCTACATGTTAAAATGTTGCCATGCAGTAGTAAGACTTTATTTACAATACTGTGCATAATTGTGGCCAAGAAGATATAAAATTATATTGCTTCCCAGGAAATTGCTTATCTGGAAACAAGTGCTGGACTGCCTTCTGGTGAAAAGCAACAACATAAAGGTTCCAGGTTCAAAGGTTCAAATGTCCTTAAATGACATTGACAGGGTAAACATTTGTTAGTTTTTAAAAAGACAATGAAGGGACCTTATTGAATAAGCCACCCACTGGGTTTCTTCATAATCGAATTCACAAACAAGAGAA